GGAGGTGTCCCACCCCTCTGCCTACAGCCTCGCCCCCCTGTGTAGCAGATGCCTCTAGAGGGGCTAAACCTACACCTGCTCCAGATGCCTTGTGATCACACACTCCTCCTCCCACCAGGGCCAGAGCTGCTAGGGGCAGAAGGGGATCACCTGACCCAGGCAGCCAATCAGAGTCTGTCCTGGGACTCTTGCCTCTGGGTCTTGTGAACTGAGAATGTGCAAACTTGGGTGGCCATGTGAGCATGTATGTGCCACATATGCTGGTGCACGGAGCACGGGAGAGGGAGGGCCGGGGTGTGAGAGAACGAGAAGCAAGAAGACGCCCAGACAGAGACAGACGAGGCAGTGTGGGTGAGACAGAGGAGAAACAGGTGTTGCCTGCTCTGGCCCCTTTGAGGCTAGGCTGTGTCCTGCTTTGGGGTCCGAGTGTCCTTTGGGTGTGGCCACTAAGCCCACCCTGGCCCAGGCTGTAGAGTGTGGACTTCAGTTTCTTGCTGCCCAAAGGCCCATGTGTGAGGCGCTTGCCCCTGGCGGCCCCCGAGCAGTGCAGGTTCTGTCTTGGATGTCAGAGGCTACTAAGTTTACTTCCTTGGTGACCCGGCACTAGGAGGGACTCTTCAAACTCCGTGTCGAGTGTTCTTCGTGGGTTTCTCGTGGAATTCTCTGGGCTGTTCTCCCTCTCCCACTGTGGGAAAAAGACCTGAGGGATGCCAGAGGTGGGGGCCCGGGCTGGAGGTGCCAGTACCCTTTTGGGGACTTTCATGGTCCTAGTGAGAATGAGAGCTAAGGGTCACCCGATTCTCGCCTTAGTCTGGCATGAACAGGCCTGGAGGTAGCGACAGCTCAGATTCGGGTGTCCAGCCCCAAACTGCAAAGCCACTCAGGAAGAAGGTAAAGCGCTATGGTGGCGAAACCTCAGCAGTCGTGTGCTCACAAGGAGCCTGTGTGCATCCAGGGCTGGCAGCCCCTCCCTGGCATTTGGGGTGGCTCATTGCCAGCAGGTGACCAGTGGAGACAGGACAAAACCACCGGCGCTGGACGTGGTTGCATGTCCCCCCACTCCCAGCAGCCAGATGGCCCCGGCTCGGCACAGACAAGGCTCGTGGCGAGCCAGAGAGAGAAGCGCCCCTTTGCGTTCCTTGCTGGCGACCCATTAAAATGCACGCGTTTCACATGCTTTTATGGAAACTGGTGTTTTCTCCCTCCGGAAGCATTCCAGAGGGCTGTTGCCAGAGAATGGCAGGGCTTTCTTCGCTCCTCTTGGATCCTTCTGGCTTGTCACCAGGTCGTCTAAGCTAAACGGGGGCAAAGAAACCCACCAGCTCTTTCTAGAAGGCTGGAAGGCCAGGGTGCTGGCCAACCCAGCCAGCAGCTGGGATGAGCTGGAGAGAGCTGGAGCCCAGAGCATCCCCCAAGGGAAGCCGATCTCGGTGCCTCAGAGACAACAGCGAGCTGGGGAAAGGTTAAAACAAACGTTTATTTAACAAATTATATTAAGAAGACAATCACACAGTGAAACTTCCCTTTGCCAAACTTCCCTGGAGTCACCTCAAATAAATACACGCGGTAGGACGTTGTTCCTAAGCTAGTGACATAGCCACCTGCCTGAGGCCTGTCTCCTGGTGGTGACAGGCCCCACCAGCACGGTTGCAACAGGTGAAGAAAGCTGGCCACCCCGGCGGCGTGGTGAGAGTGGGCACCCGGCCCCTCCAGGCCCTGGGGAGGTGAGCTCGGCTTTCGTGCGCCCGGCAGGCACGGGGCTGCCGTCAAGGCCCCTCTGTGCCTCACCCTTGGGCGCACCAGCTCTCAGGGGAGCTGCGGGCTGGGACCCCTGTAAACGGTGACGGGCAGCCCGCAGCCCCGGGACTGCACCCAGCTCTTGCCCTGTGCTCGGCGAGACACTGTCACACCAGCAGGGCCAGTGACAGCTGGGAACCCATTACTGGACTGGAGGCAGGTGCTCGTGATGGGACAGCTGGCAGCGGGGGCTCTGGGGCCAGACCCCGCCTCTGCCACTTACCAGCACACGCTTCGGAGTATTTGTGTTTTTTGGGGGAGGGGTAGTGACAGGAGAAAATGTGCTTCAAGTGCCAGCCTAGCGCCTGGCAAGGAGTAGGTGCTTTGTACGTGTTGGTCCTCGTCCCCCGCCGCCTTCTGAAGGACACAGGGGCAGGTGGTGGCCATCAGAGCCTCCCAGCAGGGTGGCCCTCTGGGGAGCTAGGGCGGGGGCCTAACCCGCTATTTCTCCCTGCCACCGGGGTGCTCATCCCTCCGAGTGGAGGCTGTGGCTGGTCCCAGTTCCCGGACCTGGGTGGAAAAAGCCTTGTTATAAATATGCAAGTGAACTTGGAGTCAACTGCTTGCTCCTTATCACCGCTGTGCTGTTTCCAAGGCCTTTGGAGAGAGACTTGGAATGTTCAGGGGGAAAGAGAAGGCAGCAGGGGATGCTGTGCTCTGGTCAGTCCTTCCTGGAAGGATGGAGGCTGCTGCCCGTCACGTCTCCGAGAGAACCCCTGCCTTCCCTCCCCACGTGGCCAGAGGGTTTGTGAAGAAAAGCACCGTCCCAGAAAGAAAGAGAGGTGGCTCGGTCCCGAGGTGAGCGAGCTCCACTTCCACATGGGGCAGGCGGGGCACGTGGGCACCCACCTCAGAAGGAAAGGTGCAGAGTTTGGAGCAGCCTAAAATCCATCACGGACGCCGACTTCTTAACACTGTCACTGCTTCGTTGTCTTAAGCTGCAGTCATGGCGACGTTCACAGTCGCTGTTGGACCCAGACCAAGTCTGGAACGTTGTGGAGGCCTCTCCAGCTTGCCTGAGTCCACAGAGGTTTGCCCTCTTCCCGGCAGCCCTGCAGCCCTGCCTTGCCTGCCTGTCCCAGAACTGCAGCGTGGCCCAGGGCTGGCGGGGGGCTGGTGGGGGGCTGGCAGCTCCTCTCCCCAGACACACCCTCACTGCTGTCTTGCTCCCTGACAAGGGGTCCCACGGGGCTGTCTCTGGACCTCCTAGGGCCCATCGGAGCCGCTGAAGTGCTTGGTTCTGTCAAGGGAGAACAGCCGTGGGGTGTCACCTGTTGGAGATGATCCCACAGCTGGGGTGTGAGGAGAGATGCAAGGACAGAGCCCATGAGCCAACACAGCCGGACAGAGGTGAGTGGAGACGTTACCCCTCTGCCGGTTTTGGACCAGCCCCACCTGTCCAAACGGCAGCAGCAGACACAGGTTCTCCGGGCCCCACGGGGCTCCCCCCATTCCCCAGAAACAGCCCGTTCATTTCAGTGGGTACATTTGAGACCGGTTCATCGGCTCTGTCCTGGATAAGCACCGATCTCAAAGGGTCCTCACGGGGACTTTCCATCCCGCACCTCCCGGGCCCTGGCGGGTTCCACCAGCTAACTGCCTTTTCCTGCCACCTGGCCACGCGGGAAGGCCAGCCCCACTGGGGATGTCCTCAGGTCTTGGGGACAGTGGGGAGAGGTGAGCACATCTCTAACGCCCAGAAATCAGGAGGTATCGAAATGAAGACCAAGGGGCAGCCGTGGGGGGAGAGTGGAGGGGGATGGGGATGGTGGGGCTGATGCAGGTCTGTGAGGGATGTTTTGCCCCGGCCTCACTTCTCAGCCAGAGGCGGCGGCTCCTAACTGCTGGCCAGTTCCTGCTGCGCCCCAGCCAGCCCTGTGGCACCCTAGGAACTGCAGGGAGGAGGGGGCTGTCCCTGGCTGGGCAGTGGTTCTCCTAGGCTGCCTTCCTATGCCAGCGACCAGACACACATTGAACCTCAGGTCCAAAGCGCCAACCATCTGGTGACCCCCAAGATGTGAGATACCAAGTTCTGGGGAGTTAGTTAGGACAAATTCCAACGGCCAGACAAGGCAGCCACAGGGTGAGGACCGAGCCTCCAGGGAGGACAGTGGCCCCGTTCCCATGGCACCCATGGGACGGGCACCCAGTCCTAGCCGGCACTGTGGGGAATGCCAGCATGGCCACTGGCCACTCGTGGCAGAGATGTCAGTTCTGGCCCCAGTTTGGTGACCTGGGTCAGACGGACTTTTCAAAACAACTGTTCCTGTTAGCAGAGGCCACTAAGACACAGCCTGGCTCTGAGAAATTGGGTGACCGCGTGTCCACGTCCCTGGGCACGGGCTCACAGAGCCTCTTCACCCACGGCCTGGGCACGGTCAGAGCACCGGGCCGGGCACTTGGAGCTGTCGTTGGCACGTGGGCACTGCAGAGATGAGCCCTTTGTGGTGATGAGGGTGTGAGGTGAGTGAGCCCAGCGTCCTGGCAGCAAAGCTCACGTCCAGGTAAGCACCTGGCCACATGGCCGTCTTGCCGGGAAGGCAAGTCCTCTCTGGGCCGGTGGCTGGGGGATGGGTGTCCCCCGACCTCAGGGCATCCAGTGTGTGAACTGAGGGGCGAGTCCGAGGTTGTCCACAGTGGGCAGGGAGCCAGGCCCGGGTCCACTTGGGGACCCACTGGCATCCTCCTCCCATGTTTCCTTAGGGTCCCTGTGAAATTCTCGGGCACTTGATGCCGTTGGCGTAAGCGATGTGTTCCATGGGTCTGGGGCGATCTATCAGCCCTGGAGGGCCCTGTGCAAAGCCGCCAGCCCCTCAGGGTCTTCTGGGAGGAAGCAATGGCTTAGTGGTGGCGACAGTCTGGAGAGCAGGGAGCCGGTGGCGTCACTGGGCGGCCAGAACAACTGTCCAGGGCCCTCGGGGTGACTCCCGTGGTGGGTAGGGTTGTTCGCAGGACAACTGGTCATCACATAGACATGGTAGGAGCCACTGGTCACTACAGCACACACAGATTAGTCGAGATTATGAACAGCATCCCCAGGGAAGCGGGGTGTCACGTCAGGCAGGCTGATGACTGAGGAGGTAACAGCTCAGCTGCCCAGAGTCTCCCAGAAGCGCCAAGCGGGGCAGTGTGGATGGGTGGCGGGAGGGACCGGGCGAGGGGGGCGCTCAGTAGTCTGGGCAATGCATCTTCTCTCCGCAGGCGGCCCCTCAGGACTGGGGGATCTGCTGGCACCGGGTGGGGCTGGGCGGGAGCCGGGCGGCGGCGCTCTGCTCCGTGCGGAAGCTGTACTCGTACTGCAGGGGGAGGGGGCAGAGCAGCACAGTCAGGGCTAGAGGACGCCAGAGAAGGACCCCCACCCCTGCCACGGCCTCGGACAGGCAGGCGCAGGCCCTGAGGACACGGGAAGGGTGGTCCTCTGCACGTGCACACGTACCGCAGGCGTGAGCTGTGCACGTGCACGGCGGGCTGGGGGGAGACGCCTTTGGTGCTGCAGGTGGCTGTCTAGTTGGTGACAGTTGGTGCCTTCGGGCCCTGCCCGCCCCCTGAAAGGTGAGCTCTCGGCCACAGCAGCACCCAAAGCCGCGGTGCCTGCAGCGGACGCGCACAGCTCCCCGTGTGCGCCCTGCTGCCCCCCGGCAGATGGTCCCCACGCTCCTGCTGCTGGAGGAGTCCCACGGACGGGAAGGGACAGAGCTGGGGCTCCATCCCAGACCTGACCTGGGCTAGCCACAGCCACCAGGCTTGGGGACCCCTGGACTTGCTGCTCTGCTCACTGCTTCCTGACCTGAAGACAAACACCGGCTGACATGGGACGCAGGGAAGGGGCGCCACCCCACACCCCGAAGCGTGCTCCGCATTGAGCTCCCAGGCTCTTCCTCGCATATGATGGACCTGGGGCTCCATGAGCCTGGGCCAGGGCGGGCGCTGGCGGAGTGTACCTGTGCCCAGCCCGCCCTGCTGCTGGCCCGAACCTGAGCTCAACCCTCTCGCTTGAGACCCAAGCCTACCTACCTCACCCCGACTCACGGAAATGACAGGAGGTAGGTTCCGAGTCTGGCGGAAGTTTACAGAAGGGGTGGGGACACCTGTGGTTCACCTTGAAGGCCAGGCAGGATTTCAACATCCAAACGTTGGGCACGGCATGCCAGGAAGAAGAGGGGGCATAGGTGAGGAGTGCCCGCCGGGCAGAAGGGCCAGGCCCGAGGCTGTGGGGCTGGGGAGCAGGGCGGTGGGAATGGCCTGGACACCACGCAGGGCAGCCATGTGGGTCCATGGGTCTTAGAAATGAGTTGCTTAGATTAGGTCAGTGGTTGTTAAACATTTAAAATAATATTTTAAAACTTTTTAGCAGTACAATTGCCATAAAAGGGGCTTCCCTACATAACGCAAAGTTGAGCTGCCTGGTTGAACTCAGCCACTACCTGAAGCTGTTGCCTCGGGGACACCAGCGGGGGGCTGCCAGGAAGGTGTCGTGGAACCATCCCAGCAGGAGGGTGACCGCTGGGTGCCCACCCAGTAGGGTGCAGACCCCAGCCGCGGGCTCCAAATGCCCTCCCGACCCCCAAAGTGAGCTGCCTGCGGCAAGGAGGCACTTCTGAGGGCCACGCAGAGCAAGGAGCACAGCTACGGGCTGAGGGGCTTTAGGGATCGTTCTAGAAATGAGGGGAAGCAGAAGCTTCTGGAGGGTTTTACTCCTCCCAAGGGGAAATGGTGGGGAGGCCGAGGCAGCCAGCAGACTACCACTGCAGCACTGCGTCCTCAGCCACCCTGCCAGTGGTCCCGGAGGCCGACCCAGGACAGACACAGATCCAGGCTGGCGCTGGGTGCGGGGGCGAGGCCTGGGCTGTCCCTGGCTGTCCCATGTGAGCAGCAGAGGCGAGCAGCCTTGAGCAGCCACAGGGACCAGGTGACACTGGTGATCGGACTGTGGTCCCTACAAACAGAAGGGGCGGGGAGGGAAGGACTTGACGTTGCAGGGCGACCTCAGGCAGGTCTTTCCTTCTCTGAACCTCAGTGAACTCATCTCTAAAGAGGGGTCACATCAAGAAATAAGTGTTGGCAAGGGTGTGGAGGAAAGGGAACCCTCTTGCACTGTTAGTGGGAATGTAAATTGGTACAGTCACTATGGAGAACAGTAGGGAGGTTCCTTAAAAAACTAAAAATAGAACTGTCACGATTCACTTCTGGGAATTTACCTCAAGAAAAGGAAAACACTAATTCAAAAAGTTCTACGTACCCCCGTGTTCACAGCAGCATTATTTACAATAGTCAAGATATGGACCAACCTAAGTGTCCATCGATGGATGAATGGATAAAGAAAATGTGGTACATATACAGTAGAATATTCCTCAGCGATAAAAAAAAAAAAAAAAGAATGAAATCTTCAATGAAACTAAAAGCTGGTTCTTTGAAAAAAGAAGCAAAATTGATAAACCTTTAGCCAGACTCATCAAGAAAAAAAGGGAGAGGGCCCAAATCAATAAAATCAGAAATGAAAAAAGAGAAGTTACAACTGACACAGAAATACAAAGGACCATAAGAGACTACTGCAAGCAACTATATGCCAATAAAATGGACAATCTGGAAGAAATGGACAAATTCTTAGAAAGGTACAATTTCCCAAGACTGATCCAGGAAGAAACAGAAAATATGAACAGACCAATTTACAACTACGGAAATTTAATCTGTGATTAAAAAACTCCCAACAAACAAAAGTTCAGGACCAGAGGGCTTCACAGGCGAATTCTATCAGACATTTAGAGAAGAGTTGACACCAGTCCTTCTCAAACTCTTCCAAAAAAACTGCAGAGGAAGGAACACTCCCAAACTCGTTCTACGATGCCACCATCATCCTGATACCAAAACCAGACAAAGAAAGATACCCCCAAAAAAGAAAATTACAATATCACTGATGAACACAGACGCAAAAGTCCTCAACAAAATACCAGCATATTGAATCCAACAATACATTAAAAGGATCATACACCATGATCAAGTGGGATTTATCCCAGGGATGCAAGGATTTTTCAACATCTGTAAGTCAATCAATCAATGTGATACACCACATTAACAAATTGAAGGATAAAAACCATATGATCATCTCAGTAGATGCAGGAAAAACTTTTGACAAAATTCAACACCCATTTATGATAAAAACTCTCCAGAAAGTGGACATAGAGGGAACCTACCTCAACATAATAAAGGCCGTATATGACAAACCCGCAGCAAACATCATTCTCAATGGCGAATAACTGAAAGCATTTCCTCTAAGATCAGGAACAAGACAAGGATGTCCACCCTCATCATTTTTATTCAATATAGTTTTGGAAGTCCTAGCCACAGCAATCAGAGAAGAAAGAGAAATAAAAGGAACCCAAACTGGAAAAGAAGTAAAACTATCGTTGTTTGCAGATGACATGATACTATACATAGAAAATCCTAAAGATGCTACCAGAAAACGACTAGAGCTCATCAATGAATTCGGTAAAGTTGCAGGATACAAAATTAACACGCAGAAATCTGTTGCATTTCTACACACTAACAATGAAAGATCAGGAAGAGAAATTAAGGTAACAGTTCCACTTACCATCGCATCAAAAAGAATAAAACACCTAGGAATGAAATTACCTAAGGAGGAACTTCTCTAGGCAAGAAACACAAAAGAAGGAAAAGACCTACAATAACGAACCCAAAACAATTAAGAAAATGGGAATAGGAACATACATATCGATAATTACCTTAAATGTAAATGGACTAAATGCTCCCACCAAAAGACACAGACTGGCTGAATGGATACAAAAACAAGACCAATATATATGCTGTCTACAAGAGACCCACTTCAGACCTAGGGACACATACAGACTGAAAGTGAGGGGATGGAAAAAGATATTCCATGCAAATGGAAATCAGAAGAAAGCTGGAGTAACAATTCTCGTATCAGATAAAACAGACTTTAAAATAAAGACTAGTTAAAGAGACAAATAAGGACTACATAATGATCAAGGGATCAATCCAAGAAGAAGATATAACAATTGTAAATATTTATGCACCCAACAGAGGAGCACCTCAGTACATAAGGCAAATAGTAACAGCCATAAAAGGGGAAATGGACAGTAACACAATCGTAGCAGGGGACTTTAACACCCCACTTTCACCAATGGACAGATCATCCAAAATGAAAATAAATAAGGAAACACAAGCTTTAAATGATACATTAAACAAGATGGACTGAATTGATACTTATAGGACATTCCATCCAAAAACAACAGAATACACATTTTTCTCAAGTGCTCATGGAACATTCTCCAGGATAGATCATATCTTGGATCACAAATCTAGCCTTGGTAAATTTAAGAAAATTGAAATCGTATCAGGTATCTTTTCCGACCACAATGCTATGAGACTAGATGTCAATTACAGGAAAAGATCTGTAAAAAATACAAACACATGGAGGCTAAACAATACACTACTTAATAATGAAGTGATCACTGAAGAAATCAAAGAGGAAATCAAAAAATACCTAGAAACAAATGACAACGGAGACACGATGACCCAAAACCTATGGGATGCAGCAAAAGCAGTTCTAAGAGGGAAGTTTATAGCAATACAATCCTACCTTAAGAAACAGGAAACATCTCAAATAAACAACCTAACCTTGCACCTAAAAGCAATTAGAGAAAGAAGAACAAAACAACCCCAGAGTTAGCAGAAGGAAAGAAATCATAAAGGTCAGATCAGAAATAAATGAAAAAGAAATGAAGGAAACGATAGCAAAGATCAATAAAATTAAAAGCTTTTGAGAAGATAAACAAAGTTGATAAACCATTAGCCAGACTCATCAGGAAAAAAAGGGAGAAGACTCAAGTCAATAGAATTAGAAATGAAAAAGAAGTAACAACTGACACTGCAGAAATACAAAGGATCATGAGAGATGACTACACGCAACTCTATGCCAATAAAATGGACAACCTGGAAGAAATGGACAAATTCTTAGAAATGCACAACCTGCCGAAACTGAACCAGGAAGAAATAGAAAATATGAACAGACCAATCACAAGCACTGAAATTGAAACTGTGATTAAAAATCTTCCAACAGACAAAAGCCCAGGACCAGATGGCTTCACAGGTGAATTCTATCAAACATTTAGAGAAGAGCTAACACCTATCCTTCTCAAACTCTTCCAAAATATAGTAGAGGGAGGAACACTCCCAAACTCATTCTACGAGGCCACCATCACCCCGATACCAAAACCAGACAAAGATGTCACAAAGAAAGAAAACTACAGGCCAATAT